TCGGATCGGATTTGCAGACCTCTAATACTGTATGCACTGATAAGACTGTATAAACATGCACTTAATGTAGCCTCCTTCAGAGGCATCTCTACAGGGTTAGGGTTCAATTCGGGGAAAAAATAATGCCAAAACCGCGCATGTTTTCTCTTCTTCATGTTTTCTCGAAAAAATGTGTCTTGTTTTTGTGTCAAAACCCTGGTCGAAACATCAGCAATGCGACTACATTCCTACGCCTATTGCTGTCAAATTGGCAAACTGTTATTAGCTAATTTAGCACAACATCCCGCACACCAATTAAATGTCGCCATTTCGAAATTGTCGATTTCACGACGTTAGGAATATACAGTAGTCGCAATCCTGAGTGTTTTAACACGTTAAACATGACACATTTTTGGGTGAGAGGAAAGGTCCGCGCTTTTGGTAATAAGAGTTGCCTGCAGAGAACCTTTTCGTCACATTTCTCCAAGGATGATACGTTTTACACAACAGAGTTTATGTCAAAATGATGCGTTGCAAGTTGCACCCCAAATTGCTACGCGTAACATGGTCTTTGAAAACATTGTGATTAAATTTTGACAAAGTGATTAACTGAATCATAGTCTTTCGAGACATGGTCTGGAAACTCAGTAAACTTCAAAGCGGTTTTAATGAGCTGAGATTTTATGTTGAGCCGTACCTTACACCGTGCACATCCTTTGTTTTAGGCTTATTAATATTTAAATAGCATGGTTGAATGACTGAACTGAAACGCTGCTATTGGATGATTCGTTCATTATACTGAAATACAATGTGTTCATTGACCGTGGACCGTGCACAAAACTGCGTAAACGCAAACAAAAAGTTTTCAAACCATATTTTGAAAGACTATGACTGAATGCGTAATTATCCCATTGTGTAATTTGTCCTTTGATCCATACATTTCGCACTATTATTTGCAATACATCGTTCTGCATGCCTATTTTAGTGGAAGGAAAATGATAGATTTCATTGTTTTTGGGGAGATATGTTGACAAGTATACATCAACTAAGCCCTTAATGCAACTTACGTTCTGATGAACATGAAAAGGGTGAGGGGGCGGGAGAATAAAAGGAAGGAGTAGGTTAAAGCGCCTCCAGGAAAGGCCTCGTATATTATTGTATATATTTGCATCTGCATGAGTCTCATACTGTACTCTGCATGTATATAGAGAAATATGCCTTTTATGGAGGCACTTGTTCTCCCCCCTTCCTTTTTCTCTCACCTTGGCTTCCCACCCCTCTTCATGTTGCGTTGCAGGCTACATTCAGTATTGCACTTGCCATTTCTTATTCGTCTGTATTACTTATTATTCACTTTCTATTTGTTATTCTAGATATTTGGCAAATGATGGAATCATAGAACAGGTGAGTACGAATTTTTCTATTAAAGGTCCTCTTCTTCTCTTTGGCAGTAACCTTGTTACAAACTTTTGCTTTCAAGAAATATTATCTATATATACACACCAACTAGTGGCAAGCTTGCCATGGTAACTTGTTCTGCTATGTTAACAAACCTGCATCTAATACATTTCTAAAGTTTGAGTAATGCAAATCATTAAAAATTCGCATAGCATGACATGTTGCTATGACTATAGCTTCACCATGATACACGCCAACCTGTTAGAATACAGGGGCCGGTTGTTCAAAAGCCGATTAGCTTAACCCTAGGTTAACCTAAAATTCAAACCCAACTTGCCAACCGCTTCGTTACAAACTTGGAAATATTTCTTCAGAAATCTTGTCTGGACCATTAAGAGTTTTCTTCTGTGAAGTTTTAAAACAGGTGGATGTGCAGAAATACATAAACTAAAACAGTAGGTTAAATTTTAACCCAGGATTAGCGCTAATCCAGTTTTGAACAACCGGGCCCAGTTGTATATATATACGACCTTAAAATGCCTTTTCAATCCACTGATTTTGATAGTGATTTATTTTACCTTAATTTTACACATTAGTTAGATAATGCTTGTAATACAATTGCAATATATAGATGTTCTCAACGCAGTGTTCATTAAAATTCTAGTTTTGCAGTGAATTCTACTAAATTAATAAGCAATAACGTTCGTTTCCCTCTCGGAGTTGACCATAGTTTGCGGAGAAAGTTCCAAAATTGAATGGTTAACTAATTTACTGTACATTCGTTCTGCGAGCATGACTACCGAAGTCGGTGATCAACTACTTTTCTTGTATTAAAGCAGTCTTAAATACCTTACTTGTATTTAAATTTGCGCGTACTAATTTTGCGCACCACAGAAGCGACAATTCTGCGTTACTGCATGCATCTTGAAAAGGAATAACGCTGGAAAATGACACTTAAATTATGGATTCCGTCGATAAAATGACATTGGGTATTTCAATTTTTAAGAAAGCATACAAATGTGAAAATTTTCAAGCTATCATAACTCGAAAAGTCCCAAAGAAAGATTAACAACAACCTCGTTTCCAGGCTCCTTCCTCTCCGGTCCGATCTCGGATTAGCAGGACGTTTTTGTATAATTTTAATTTCGCACGTCTACAGTATGGTCTATTCGAGTTCTATATAATTCTGCGCGAATGCAAGTAAGGTATTTGACTGTTTGCAGTAATCATTGTGAAGAATCATGTTGGTAATAATTCATTAGAACGTAAGTTTACAGTAGCTTGATTGTGTAGGAAAATTTAAAGTGTCTTAGGAATTCCGTATCCGACGCATCTTCCAATAACATTTCACTCAGGGAAGTCGTTCGTATCGTAGGTCGTAGTCGTTCGGAAGTCGTTCAGGGAAGTCGTTCGTAAGAGCTGTAGACTCTTGAAAGGTTTGTCATTAAACAGTGGCAGAAGCGAAGCAGGATGCGAACAACCAAAGACATAAATCCCAATGAAATTATCAAGAGAAAGACGGCGGGTAAGAAACCCAGCACAATAATTTGAAACCAATCATAAGCCTGAAAAATCTGTACCAAGTCCCCTTTGACGTGTGCCTCTACGCCAACATATACAGATTTGTGCATATTTATTAACCCAAGAGTAATCAGAACTAGCAAGGAGACAGACTCGAGGGAATTTGCGAATGGATTCTGAAAGGGTTTTACGGATACATGATGGAATAAGACGAGAACGTTAAACAATGTCATGAAGAATAACCGTACAGTTGGATCAGGGATGAAAGTATATGATAATACCAAGACAAAACGTCGAGCTATCATGATACTTTGCCAATAGACAGCTCCATTATCTGTGTTCGAAAGCTTCCGAAAAGGCCCCGAAAGCAC